TCCAGCCCATCCCCCTCCTTCCACCTCTACCCGGCAGCCCGAGGAGACCCGGTCTCTCGTCTCTTCTCCGGGGCTGACTTCCGCCCCCACTAGAGTCTTCCTAGTATCCCCCAGTCCCTGGCGGCCTCCGGGCCTTTCTCTGGAATGTTCCTCTGGGGGGACTTTCCTCCTAGGTTCCTGGTGGGATGCACCAGGGCTCTGTCCACGCAGACTTGTTTTGTTTCTGGTCCTGACCCTAAAGTATGGGGAGGCGTCCTAGGAGCTTTATGAACACTGACGGGGGTGAACCCTCACAGCTGCCCCTTGAGGGAAGGCCTGGTATCGCCCCTCCGCCAATGTACAGGCGAGGCTCGGAGGAAACAAGCAACGTGACCCATTTGCACGCACCCTGAAAGTGGTGGAGCCAGATGGAGGCAGGCCGGTGCCTCGAATGCCCTTAGTGCACCTCAGCGGGCAACCTGGCTTCGAGTCTTGCCAACCGGCTGAACGCTATATTCCTGTCACTCAGTGTGTGCTTCTTAAGCTGCCTCTACGGGCCAAGCTTGTTCTGGTTGCTGGAGCTCCCTTGCCCGCTTGGTTCCCCCACAGGTGGGGGATGTCCCCCAGTGGTTCCCCCACACACACATACACCATTTTCTGTGTGTGCACAGCCCAGCCGACCTCCTGCAGAGCATCCCGCCACCAGAGCGGAAAGCCCACGAGGACGGGTTTTTGTCCTGTACTCTCTCCCCTGTAGAGCAGTGTGTCTAATACAGGTTGAATAAATAAATCACAGTGCTCTGGGAATTCCTGCATTTTTCTTTAAAGATTTTATTTGTAAGTAATCTCAACGCCCCATACGGGGCTCAAGCTTACAACCTCGAGATCAGGAGTCGCATGCTCCCCGGACCGAGCTGGTTCCCCTGAATTCCTGCATTTTTAAACCTAACCAGTTGGGTAAGAGGTGGTGGTTGAAGGGAGGAAATTTCCCAGTGGGTAATTATTTTATTTTATTTTATTTTTTTAAAGATTTTATTTATTTATTCATGAGGGACAGAGAGACAGACAGAGAGAGAGAGAGAGAGAGGCAGAGGGAGAAGCAGGCTCCCAAAGAGCAGGGAGCCCGATGCGGGACCCGATCCCAGGATCCTGGGATCATGACCTGAGCTGAAGGCAGACGCTTAACCATCTGAGCCACCCAGGCGCCCGCGGGTAATTATTTTATTTTATTTTTTTTAAGATTTTTTATTTATTTATTTGAGAGAGAGAGAATGAGAGAGAGCACGAGAGGGAAGAGGGTCAGAGGGAGAAGCAGACTCCCCGCTGAGCAGGGAGCCCGATGTGGGACTCGATCCCGGGACTCCAGGATCATGACCTGAGCCGAAGGCAGTCGCTTAACCAACTGAGCCACCCAGGCGCCCCCGGCGGGTAATTATTTTAAAAGTTTGAAATGGTAACCACCTTCCTCCATTCCATATCTGCCTCACCACACACATATTCCCACATACTTACATACTTATGTACCTGTGGGAGGCCACCTCAAATATGGGGTGAGGCTAAGAATTTGGGGTTTGAAAGGATCCTGAGAAAGCAGCTCATGCAACCCCCTCATTTTACCAAGGAAGAAACTGAGGCCCAAAGAAGGGCCTTGACTTGCTTGAGACTCTTGTGAGTAGGGCTGGAGCTATACGGGTCTCTCGACTTCTGGCCCAGACCCCAAATTGGCTTCCTATACCTATCCTCTGCCAACACAAAGTGCTCCTGGCGGCCCTCATCCTCCACTGTGCATCCTCCCTCTGGACCTGAAAGGCATCACTGCCTGTGCCAAGTGCAAGCCCAGAGAGGCTGCTTGCCTTCGGACAGGAGATCTTCCTTCCGGTCCCGCAGTCTGGGGGAAGCGGGACAGCCAAACACAGCTCCTCTCCAGAGCTGTGGCCGGATGACGGGCCCTGGGAAGCCGAGGCCCCCTTCAAGATCACAACACATCAAGGTCGGAAGGAACCTCAGTGAGCATCTCATACCACCAAACACGTTGTACAGATGAGGAAACAGCTGCAGACAGAGAAGAGACCCGCATAGTTACACAGGCTAGAGACCCAGGACTCCTGATTCCCAGCTCTAGGCTCCTTTCTGGTGTCTGAGCCCCTCACAAGGGTCAGGTGAGAACAGACCTCTGACAGGGTGTGTGTGTGTGTGTGTGTGTGTGTGTGTGTGTGTGTGTGTGTGTCCCCAAAGACTCATTACAAATACTGAAGAGGGGCGCCTGGCTGGCTCAGTCAGTAGAGCACACAACTCTTGATCCTGAGGTTGTGAGTTCAAGCCCCACACTGGGCACAGAGATTACTTAAAAAAAAAATCCTAAAGAGTGTGTGCGTGTATGTCTGAAGACTCATTAAGTATCCTGAAGAGTCTGGGGTGCCCGGGTGGTGCAGTCGGATGAAACCAACCATCCGACTCTTGGTTTCAGCTTAGGTCTGAGATGGAGCCCTGAGTCGGGATCTGCGCTCGGGGTGGAGTCTGCTTAAAAACTCTTTCTTCCTCTACCCTCCCTCACCCCCGTCCTCTCTTAAATAAATAAACCACCACCACCACCACCACCACCTGAAGAGTTTCTGTCTCCCTCTCCCTCCCCAGGGCCCTGCCTCCAAGACCTCAAGGCCACAGGACCCTACAGCCCCATAGATGTCAGGGGCAGAGGTGCGACGTGTAATTGTCCCCCACCTTGGCTTCCAGGGAGCCTTGGCGTATGCCTCCTGTACCAGTTGGGCTGTGCAGGTAACAGTTGTGGGGCAAAGTTGTGAAGGCCACGCAGAGTTATACTGGGGTAAAGAAAGAGAGAGAGAGAGACCGAGAGAGGAGAGGAAAGGATGAGAATAGCTAACAGGAGGTTCTTTTGTGGGTTTCATTTATTTTTTGTGGGTTGTGTTTTTTTGACAGAGTGTGGAGGGGAAGCAGCTACTGTCCAGGGAAGGATGGGGCTGTGGGAAGGTGCTGGAAGCTTCACGACAGCACCTTAGGTAGACACAAATAAAATACTGTTGCACTGTGGTGAGTGGTGGGGGCCGGTGCACAGAAGGCCTCTCTGAGGGGCGCCTGGGTGGCTCAGTTGGTTAAGCGACTGCCTTCGGCTCAGGTCATGATCCTGGAGTCCCGGGATCGAGTCCCGCGTCGGGCTCCCTGCTCAGCGGGGAGTCTGCTTCTCCCTCTGACCTTCCTCTCTCTCATGCTCTCTACCATTCTCTCTCTCTCTCTCAATAAATAAATAAATAAATAAATCTTTAAAAAAAAAAAAAAAAGAAGGCCTCTCTGAGGACGAGCAACTAAAGCTGAGCCTAGGAAGAGAAGGAGCCAGCATGTGAGCAGGGGGACGTTTTAGGAAGGTCGCTTTGGTGCCGTATGGAGAGTGGACTGCAGAAGACAGGCAGGAGACCACTCAGCTCCTATAGTCGTCCGGGTGAGAGAGGTTGGTGGCCCAAGCCAGGAGGGCGGCTGCGGAGATGGAAGAGGGTGCCATCTGTTTGGAAGATGGAGCAGTCAGGGCTTGCTGAAGGACTGTAATATGTGGGCTTGAGGGACAGGGTCAAGGATGACTCCCAGCGGACCCGACTTAAATGCCTGGGTAGCGGCAGGACCATTTACACTGCCTCCCCCCTCCCCCGGCAAGGCAAGAATAGCCTCCCCCAGTGCTCTAGAGAAGTCTGGTGATGCACAGACACTGAGAGAAAGGAGAGGGAGAAACAAAGAGGCAGGGTCCAGAATTGCAGGTCAGGAGCTGGAGGGCAAAAGGCTGGTAGACAAATACGGCTCCTCACTGCAGACAATACCAGAGGGTGAGTAAGGCCAAGCCAGCCCTAAGGAAGGCAGAGATGCCCAGGGGCCTTCAAAGCACTACAGAAGCTCGGTGCTATGGGAGCCAGAGCTCAGAAAGTCCCTTTGGGACTTCCCTTCCACTTTGCAGACCTGCAGCCCAGGGCCCAGGGCAAGGGGAAAACTTCCCTAACTGACGAATCCCCTCCTTCTGCGCGGTCCTGGGTTTTGTTTTATTTATTCATTCATTCATTTATTTATAAGAAAGATTTTGTTTATTTATTTATAAGAAAGATTTTATTTATTTATTTGACAGAGAGAGAGAGAGAGAGCACAGATAGGCACAGAGTGGCAGGCGGAGGGAGAAGTGGGCTCTCCGCTGAGCAGGGAGCCCCATGCGGGGCTCGATCCCAGGGCCCTGGGATCATGACCTGAGCTGAAGGCGGACGCTTAACTGAGCCACTCAGGCACCCCCTGGGTTTTGTTTTAAATGGCCACATAAACGCGATTCCACCCTCGTAAAACGTTTCCAGTGCTTCCCACTGGTGTCCCTCATCGCTTGGCAGCCTCCATCCGTCTGCAAGGCTCACAGACCACTTCCCTCCACAAGGGGCAAGGCCCACGTACCAATGACCCTTTCCTCTCGCTTCCCCCTGCTAGGTACACCCTTCTACCCCCTTCAGCCCCTAGAATCTTCTGGTCTTCAAGGATCAGTGATGCGGTTCCTCGAAGCCAGAGTGAACAGCCACTCTCCCACTCTGGGATCCTGCAGCAAATTGCTTTAATCTCTTTAGAGCTGGTGGTTGCTGCTTGTGTCCGTGCGGATGGTCCAGCTTCAACCCCGTATCCAGGTGCCCAGAAGATCTGTACTAAGCGACCCAGGAGGGCTCGCCCGCACATTTTAGGGCTCCGAGCCCGGTGCTCGCGGCCTCGCACCGGGTACCTCGTGCCCTGCGGCCGCGTCCTCCGTACTCCTCGCGTTCGGCTGCACAGCCGCCGAGGCCCCACCGAGCCGGCCGGCTCCCCAAGGGCGCTAAGAGGCCGGGGCCGGGCGCCCCCCGCTCCGGTGACCGCGGCCCGCCCCCATCACCGTGGACTCCGTCACGTGACGGCGGAGCCGGCGAGCGTTTTTCTCACGTGACGGAGGCGCCGGTGTGGGGACCAATGAGAAGGCGAGGGCGGGGCTTCCGGGGGGCGGTGCGCGGGAAGGGAACCTCGGGCCCCCGCGGAGGCCAGCCGCGGGCCGGGTGCGTAGGGCCCGGCGCGGGCCAGCCGCCCGTCTCGGCTCCGTCGGAGGCCAGGCCCGGCCTCGGCGCCGGGGGCAGCATGAGGTGTCTGGTCACGGGCGGCAACGTGAAGGGTGAGTTGGGGCGACCGGGGTGGGGGGCGGGGGCACGTGGGAGCGCCGGAGACGCCAGCCTAACCCCGGTTCCTTTTCTCCTCCCCGCAGTGCTCGGCAAGGCCGTCCATTCCCTGTCCCGCATCGGGGACGAGCTCTACCTGGAGCCCCTGGAAGACGGGGTGAGGGGGTGGGTGGGATTACAAGCGGGAGCCGGTTTCTCATCGCGTCAGGCCAGATGCCCTTGGGCAGAGCTGTCTGCCGAGTTTGTCCCCCGCCTCCCGTTGTCGGGGCGTCAGTTTGGGCCCTGTCATCTTCCCAGGCCGATGTGTGACTCGAGAGCCACTGCCCTCCCTGAAGTGCCTGTGGCGGGTGGGGGCAACTAGGGGGAAAGGTAGAGTGTGCCGACGGTTGTGTAGGGCCCTTGCTGTGGGAGCAGTCACTGCCGGGGACTCAGGGAAGGAAGGCTTCATGGAGAAGGCACCCGCTGACCGGAAGGAGAGGGGGGATTTCAGGGGTGATGGTGGAGGAGGAGGACGTCAGGACAAGTGTGTGAGCAAAAGCTGGCCAGAGGGCAGGGCCTGTCTGCCCCCTGACCGCATCCCTCTCCCTGCTTTTCCCGGCCCAGCTCTCTCTCCGGACCGTGAACTCCTCTCGCTCGGCCTACGCCTGCTTCCTCTTTGCCCCGCTCTTCTTCCAGCAGTACCAGGCGGCCGCCCCTGGTCAGGAAGCCCTGCGCTGTAAGATCTTGATGAAGGTGAGGCCCTTCCCTCATCAGCGCTGCTTGGTGTCCCCTCGGTCCCCCCCCCCCCCCGGAATGTGTCTGCCCTGGGGCATTCAGAAGATGCTAACTGGGGAGAAGGATGTATGCAGGAGCAAGCGGGTGTAAAATGCAGTGAGGAGCATAGGAAAGACACCACCGAGGGTAATGGGAGTTACGGTGAGGGAGATTGATTCTGCCAGGGAGCTGGAGAGAGTGGTGACATTCACCTTGGTCCTTGAAAAGTAAGCAGATCTTTCAAGGCATCCCAGACAGGTGTGCAACAGCATGAACAGAGGCCTGGAAAGGCATAAATGTGCTGCATGTTGTGGGAACTCCCTTCCTAGTGGGACAGTGCTGAGCCTGGGATGGCCAGGTCCTACGTGGGAGTGAAAGCTGGTTGGTGGAGGCACAGCACTGGGCTGATGTGTTGCCTCCACTCAGTCGTTCCTGGCTGTCTTCCGCTCACTGGCGGCGGTGGAGAGGAGCGTGGAGAAATGCTGCATCTCACTGGGTGGCAGGAGCAGCCGCCTGGTGGTCCAGCTGCACTGTAGATACGGTGAGTGAGCGGCCGGCCACGGGCTCCCTGGCGTGGAGGCGTAGAGGTTAGCAAGACCCACTGAGACCCTGTCTGCCCATCCAGGGGTGAGGAAGACTCACAACCTGTCCTTCCAGGACTGCGAGTCCCTGCAGGCCGTCTTCGACCCAGCCTTGTGCTCGAATGTGCTCCGTGCCCCAGCACGGTGAGTGTGGCCTCCAGCTGCCAACTGAGCGTGGGTCTCGTTTGTTTCTTTGGAGCCTCCAGGGTCGATTTAAGAAGACACCTTCTTCGTTTTCTCTACAGAGCTTCTATGAACCTCAGAGAGTTTATCTAGACCGGTCTGCTCTCAGGTCTTGGGCTGGCTCTTGAGGGGCTGAGGCTGGAATGGAGGAGGGCATTGCTCCATGCTCACTGTCTTCAGGAACCTGTATTCTCCACCCCAAAGATCCAGCTTGGCTTTCTGGCCACTTAGACCCCTTCCAACTCCTCTTTTAGAAAGCATGTCTTTGCCTTGCTCTTAAGTCCTCTTTCTCCGGCTTGAGCAGCCTTGAACATCCGTCTCTAGCTTTTCGACTCAGGGGCTCAAAATCCTTTTCTGGTGTGGTCATCTTTCTGGGACTGCTCTCCATTCAAGGGCCGCCTCTTTTCCTGTCTGCTTGGGCTGTAGCTTTGAGGAGTCCACAGGCCGAGGAAGGAGGCTGGACAGGGTGGTCATGGTCCAGGAGTGCCGCCTGAATGAGCATCTGTGGGGATGGGGCTGTTCCGGGAAAATCAGAGTACCCCGGGGGGCTGTGCCGGGTCCAGGAGATGGGGATTCCAGTGGAGGCAAAGGTCCCTGCAGCAGATCAGGGTAGAGAGGGGTGGTTCCCCTCCCACCTTTTGCTGCATGCTGATTGCATTTGAGTAGCCCAAGGTCACGTTCATTTTTTTTTGTAACCATCGGGTGTGGTAATTTGAAGTTCCCTTTGGGTCCAGATGATCTGTTTTTCTGAGTTCTGTTGAGATAATGCTGCTCAGGACTCCTTTGGGTAGAGAAAGAGGGAAGGGTATCACCTCCGGTCTGGATTTTGGTGCTTTTTTTTTTTTTTTTTAAATGAATGAGCAATTGTTTTTCTCATGGACAATTTCAAGTATGTATAAAAGCGAACCCCTGGTCCTGTCCCAGTGGTGAGACAGAGTCCAGATGTTATTTCATATGTACATATTTGTCAACATGTATTCCTAAAAGACAAAGATTTAAGGTCTTTTCTGAAGGCTGAGTTTATAGGGATGGACTGGGTGTGCTTTCACCCCCCCGGGAGGGGCAGGTGCTGCCGGCCTGGTTTGGCCCAGTGCGAACAGCCCATCCTCTCTGTTGCCTCCCCTGGGCTCTGCTCTTGTCTGCCCCATCCCTTGCGGTGGACTTTTCTCCCCCAGCAGCCTGAAAGCTTTGGGTGGGGTAGGAGCCATGTCCTGCTCACCCTGTCCTTCCCAGGGCATGCTAGGACCGGCACATGGTGGGTCCTTTTGGACACTGGTCTCCGCAAGCGTGAAGCCACGGGGCAGGCCTGAGCCTTGGGTGTGATGCTGTGCCCCCCTCACAGGGTCCTGGGGGAGGCTGTTCTGCCCTTCCCCCCTGCGCTGGCAGAAGTGACACTGGGCATTGGCTGTGGCCGCAGGGTCATCCTGCGCAGCTACCAGGAGGAGGAGGCAGGTGAGAGAGCCAGACATGGCCTTAGACAGGGGGTTAGAGCTGGGGTGGGAGGGGGTAGGGCGCAGAAGCCTAGGTCCTTCCTGTTCCTGCCTCCACAGACAGCACCGTCAAAGCCATGGTGACCGAGATGAGCATTGGGGAGGAGGATTTCCAGCAGTTGCAGGCCCAGGAAGGGGTGGCCATCACTTTCTGCCTCAGGGAATTCCGGGTGAGGTTCCCCCCCAGTACACTCCCCACCCTGTCCTCCCTGCCCTGCCCGGGGCCTCACTGCTCTGCTTCTCCCTTCCCAGGGACTCCTGAGCTTTGCGGAATCCGCAAACTTGTCTCTCAGCGTTCACTTCGATGCACCAGGCAGGTAATTCCCAGCCTTAGGTCCGGAGGGGAGGCTCTGGGATGCTGGGAACTGAAGGGCCCTGACCTTGCCCGGGACCTGTCGTCTGCCTAGGCCAGCCATCTTTGCCGTCAAGGACTCTCTACTGGATGGACACTTTGTCCTGGCCACGCTGTCAGAGTCAGACCTGCACTCCCCAGCCCCGCGCTCCCCAGAGCTACGCAGGCTGGTGCCTCCGCTCCAGGCTCACAGGTGAGGCTGCCCACGTGCCTGCCAGCCCCTCCCCACTCCCTTCTCTCTGGACCTTGGCCGCAGCCTCCTGCCTGCAGCTTGTGCACCTCCCCCAGCACATACACTTCCTGTCAGGCCCCAGCCCCTCTGGTGTTCACAGCCCCTTCCAGCCCTGCAGGCTCAGCCTTCCTGGTCAGCTGTGCTCAGAGAGCCCTCCCACCCAGGGAAGAAGTGTCCCCGAGGTCGGGTTGGCTTCCTTCTTTGGCTGAGGCCTCCCCTCCGAGCCTCTTCTCAGGCCAAGGAGGGAACAGGCTGCCGGGAGGCAGGGGGCTGACTAGGGCTGGGGAGAACAGGTGGCAGGAAGGGCAGGTGGGCCGGGGAGGATGGGCCCAGTGTAGTTGAAGCAGAGGAAGTTTGGTCTGGCCCCCCGCCCAGCACGTCCCTGGGCCCCAGTGCTCTCCAGCTCTGTCTCCTGGGAGGGCGGAGGCTTTGGCCCAAGGTGGCCTAGCTCGGAGGACTTGATGCTGCTCTACCCCAGCTGAGCTATCCTGATTCCCAGGATGCTTCCCTCAGGCCCCTATCTGAACTCTGAGCAAATGGATCAGATCAGTCCGCGCCCTGCAGGAAGCTACCACTTAACCACGGCATCTTTCCCCTCCAACCAAATGAGAAAGTAATAAAGCCAGGAGATCACCCGTGGTCCCAAGGCTTTTACCGCTCCGAGTCTTCTAAAGTGGGGTCCTGCCTCTATACCCTCTTCTCTCCCTGTGGTTCGCTGACACCCTGTCCCTGCCTGCAGCACACCCCACCTGGATGACTTTGCCAATGATGACATTGACTCTTACATGATCGCCATGGAAACCACTGTGGACAGCGAGGGCTCCCGGGCAGTACCTTCCACCTCCCTTTCTCCCGGCCTCCGGCCCCCCTGTAGCCCTGGCCCCTACTCAGAGGACAATGAAGCTGAGGCCAGTACACAGCCTGGGACTCCCCCACCCAAGAAGGTAGGGGCTGGAGATGGAGGCAGGGGTGGGAGGCAAGGATGGAGCAGCCTCCAGAACTCACTCTGCTTCCTCTGTTCACCTTCCAGTTCCGCTCACTGTTCTTTGGCTCCATCCTCGCCCCTGCACACTCCCCTCCGGGCCCCAGCCCTGTGCTGGCTGAAGATAGTGAGGGTGAAGGCTGAACTGAGAACAAGCCTGTGTCCAGAGGCTCTGGACTAGATGAAGCCACAGCCTCCCCCTTCCCCCAGGGGCAGCCCAGGGATAGGGCTGATCTCCACCCTGCTGGGTGGTCAAGGTGGGCTGTGCTGGAGCTGAGCGCTGGTCCTACTGCCACCCCAGGTCCCTTGTGGCTGTCTGTGACCAGCCTGGGTCCTGTGTTCTCTCTTCAACTCCCAACCAATCATGTCTGTCCCCAGGCTTGGCAATGAGCCACCACCTGATGGGAGGTCCCTCACCCATTACTCCCCTCCCAGTAGGCCTTTAGGCCAGACTCCAGCCATGTGGCTAGGGCTAGACACCTGCCTTCCCCAAGCGTTACCTCCCTAAGACAGAAATCACAGAGGGGCTGTTGGCCCCTGCTGGTCTACCTTCTTTGCCAATCATGACCTGTCCCTCCCCCAAATCCTAGGCACACCTCTGGGCTTCCTTGTGGCCAGCGAACTTTTTTCTTGCTCTATGCTGCCTGGCCCTGGCTTGGGATTCTAAGCCCCTGTGTATCTGAGCCTGTGGCTGGGATTACCCTGGCCGGGGCCCCACGCCCAGCAAGCCTGTCCTCCTCCCAAGTGGCCCTGGACCGAAGGGCTGCCAGGCCCAGGATTTGGGACAAGGGAGACAAGAGGCCATGGCGAGAATCCAGCTTTGACCTTTATTCAAGAGACCAGATGGGTTGCCCCAGGATCTGTCTGCCAGCCCTGAGGCCAAGCAAGGCTGGAAACCCACATCTGGCCCTGCTTTGCCCTGAGCTGCAGCCTTGGCCCCAGGATCCTGCTTGCGACCACTGCAGGTGCAGGTGGAAGGAGCCCTGGGGGACTGGACGCTGCCATTGATTCATTAAAAAAAAAAAGAAAAATACACCAAGGCTCCGTGTTCCCCGTGACAGGTGGGCCTGGGGGGCCAGCGTGAACCCCCCCAAAGGCCACATAATTTCTGTACAATCCACCATCCGGGGCAGAGTGCGGGCACACAGAGGCTATTTCTTGGCTTTGGCGGAGTTGCGGGGCGGGGTGATGGGCCGGCCTCCAGGGTTCAAGCCACTGAACTGCCCGTATTTCCCCTTGTTCTTGTCAGCGGGCTTGAGGATCTAAAAGAGACAGAGCTGGTCAGGCTCATGGGCTAAGCCACCAGGCCACAGGCCCCTTCCTTCCCTCCCCATCCCCACCTGGAAGGAGCACATGAGCGTCTCATCCACACTCATCATGGCACCTGCGTTGTCAAACTCGCCACAGTAGTTGGGAGCCGAGAAAAGTGTCACCAGCTGCCGCTTGGCAAAGAACTCATAGCCATCTTCCACCACCTGGATGAGGGTAGGGGCAGTTAGCTCAGCAGGTGCTGGCTACCCAGCCCCTGCTCCCACCCACCCCAGAGCTGCCAGCCCACCTGGTGTGCCCGGCAGATGAGGTCCAAGTCGTGCTTGTGCAGGAACTTGGCCACTACCTCAGCCCCAAAGGTAAAGGAGACACCACGGTCATTCTCGCCCCAGCCCTGCACGTCCTTGTCAGGGTCAGACCACAGCAGGTCACATAGCAGGCCCTGGTCAGGCACGTCTGTGGGCCGCATGATACGCCGAATCTGCTCCATGGACTGCAAGTCTGGGGACAAGCCTGGGGGAGCAAGGTGGGGGCGGGGGGGGGCAGGTCACTTCCTCAAGCCTCAAAACAAAGACCCCCCTGCTCCACAAAGCCTCTGCAGGTCAGCCTCCCCTCTACCTGCCACCACCTGGCTCCCTCCCAAAGTCCCAGGAGTCCAGGCAGGCAGAAGTCATTCCCTTCTGCCTCAAGGACCACAGAACTCTCTGAACAAAGGAGACAAAGGCAACGCACAATGCCAAGGCCAAAATGGGGGTGAGTGGAACAGAGTACTGGGGTGGGTGTGGCGGGGGGGGGGACTTCCTGGAAGAAGTGACATGCGAAGCAAGAGCACGGGGAGAGCTGTTCCAGGTGACTGGGAATATATCCCCCCAGCTACCAGCCTCGTCCCCCAGGGATGTGGCCTGGGGCTCTTCCTTCCCAGACATTCCTTCGACATGCGCCCCAGAGCCACCCTCACCTCCATGGCAGCAGAAGATCTTCTCGTCCACAATGGCAGCAATGGGCAGGCAGTTGAAGCAGTCAGTAAAAGTTTTCCACAGTTTAATGTTGTAGCGTCTCTTGCCTGCCGGGGGCAAGGAGAGACCTCATGAGGCCTGTCTGCCTCACACCCAGCCTGAGTCTCTGGGCCTTCCAGGGCACTCTGTGGGCCCTTCAGACACAGCTGGAAGAGAGTGGCAGACAAGGAAGGCCCTCCCCCCACTCCACTGCCTACCAGTCTTCCTAGAAGAATTCTAAAGCAGCTGAGTCCACAGGAACCCGAGTTCCAATCTGGAACAACCCACCCCCACCCAGTGAGCAGGGCCAGGCCAAGACTAAGTCTGGTTTATCTCAACTTCTGGTCAGCAGAAGCCAGTCCAAATAGGCATCCTAAGTGCTCAGCGGATGTACCGGACGGGAGTGTCATCAGGCAGGGCCCTGCAGGAGAACACTGGGCAGTGTTCAGTCAGCAGCCATTCGCCAGACCCCTTCTCTGAGTGCCAGGCCCCATGCCAGGAGGGCAGGGCGGAGAGACACGGGCTGGCGTGCGCCCTTCACAGAGCTCAGTCTGCAGGCATCTGTCAGACGCCTGAATACCTTTACCGCCAATCCGGGTCTCACTGGATAGCGGAGTCCCCTAAGGGCCTGGGCAGCCCCAGATACTCGGTCTACTCACACTCATCATAGAAGCCGTAGATGCGGTTGATGCTGGCACACTCGTGGTTCCCACGCAGCAGGAAAAAGTTCTCGGGGTACTTGATCTTATAGGCCAGCAGCAGGCAGATGGTCTCCAAAGACTGCTTGCCCCGGTCCACATAGTCCCCCAGGAAGAGGTAGTTGCTCTCTGGAGGGAAGCCGCCGTACTCAAAGAGCCGCAGAAGGTCATAGTACTGGCCATGGATGTCACCTGTGACCGAGGGGACGGGTTCAGCGCTAGGTGCAGCGGCTACACTTGAACCCAGGGCCAAGTCTGGGCTCCAGGGAGGAGCACTGCAAGGACTTGCATGGCCGGGGCGGGAGGCGGGGGGGGGGGGGGTGGCACTTTCAGAAAGCAAAAGGGGGTCTGGGCAGGGGGCTCACCACAGATCTTGAGGGGTGCCTCCAGCTCCAGAAGAATGGGCTGGCTCAGGAAGATCTCCCGTGATTTGAGGCACAGACCACGAATCTCGTTCTCTGTTAGCTGTACATTCTTTCCAGGCCGCGAGCCCTGCACTGGGGGCGGAATGGGGCGTCAAGCCTCTGGTAGGAGGAAGGTGGGCGACACAAGTGGCCCTATGGGCACATCTGAGGGCGCCTGGGCCTCCTGGGCCCCTCCTTGCCCAGGGGCAGCTGTTGCTGCTGAGCCTCCCAGGATGGACCCCTCGAGGGGGGTCGGCTGTGCGCGGGGCGGGGGGGGGCGCCTGTCACCCCACCCCATAGCGCAGGACCCCTGGGAGGGGTGGAGCTAGGCTTCTTAGGTTTCTCCCTCACCGCCAGGAGCACAGGCCAACCTGTGCGCCCCCAGCCCAGGAGAGGGGGCTGCTCCCCTTGCCAGAGCGTCCCCAGAACCGCCCAAGCGCCCCGCGCCTGGGGGGGCGGCTGTGGCCGCGGGACCTCGAGGCCCGTCCCCGCCCAGTCTAAGCTGGCCCTGGGAGGGGCAGGCCCGCCCGCGCACCACTTCCGGGCCAGGCAGAGGGCCAGGGCGCGGCGGGCACCGACCTCCCCCGCCCCGGCCAACCTTCCAGCAGGCGCCCGATGATAGAGTCCAGGTTGAGCTTCTCGCTGTCGGACATGGCGGCGCCGCCGCTCCGGCCCAGCAGCTCCGGGCCCGCTCCTGCCGCCCGCCCGCCCTCCCTCCCGCTGCCTCCTTCCGGCCTGGCGCTCCTTCCGCCCGCCCCAGCCCGCCCCGGCCTGCCGCCCCGCCTCCTGGGCTTGCCGCCCCGCCCCGCGCGCTGCCCCCGCGCTCTAGCGCCTCCGCTGGACGCCGGGCGCAGCAGCCGCGGCGGTCCGGGGGCGGGGCATAGGGGACAGGGCGGGGCTTGGGCTGAGGTCGGTCTATCTAAAACGGAAGCCCGGCCGGTGGGTGGAGCTTGGTGGGGCGGGGTTGAGTCTGGTCCCACCCCTGAGGAGTGATCCGAGTCCCGTTCCGAGAATATGGGGCCGGAAGTACTGTAGAAGTTGTTTTTCTCTATCAAAGGCTAACCAGCCCTTCCCACCCTGGGCGGGAGTGTGGTGTAAGCACATTAATAACCGATTCCCCAAACACTGCGGATGAAGTCCTCGAAGCGCGGAAGAGGAAACTGAGGCTCAGAGATAGCAAGGGTCTGGTCCAAGACCCGGCATCCACCTCCTGAGCCTCTGTGGCCCCCCAGGCAGCTGGCCAGACCCAGATACCTGCTGCTGCACTCTGAACCCAACTTGGTTCACACTGTGGGGCACGCTAAATTAATATTTTTTTTGTAAGATCCATTATTACCTGCTGAGTGCATAATAATGCTGCATTATGTGCATATTCAAAGCATTACTTTGTGAAGAGCAAATATTAAATCATAATTCTCACTGGAATCTTGATTTTTTTAATTTTTACTTATTTTTTTAAAGATTTTATTTATTTATTTGTCAGAGCACGAGAGAGCACAAGCAGGGAAAGCTACAGGCAGAGGGAGAGGCAGGCTCTCTCCGCTGAGCAGGGGAGCCCTATGTAGGATTCGATCCCAGGACCCTGAGATCATGACCTGAGCCAAAGGCAGACCCTTAACTGACTGAGCTACCCAGGCGCCCCTGGAATCCTGAATTGTTTTACAAGCCGATAACCTCAAAACTGGAGGGGGCCTGGCCTCTGTACCTCGGGTGGGTCCTGGCCCCTTCACACCCAACGCAGGAACCCAAGCCTGCAGCCGTCCAGCCCACGGGGAGGGGAGGGGAGGAGAGGGGAGGGGAGGAGCCCACGGCCCTGGGGGCACCGGGGCAGGCCGGAAGAGCCTCAGAGAGGAAGGGGTGACTCCCCCCACACTTGGGAGGGGAGTGTGGGAGGGGCCCCCCAGCGGGTTGCTGAAGCTGCCAGAGGAGGAAGTGAGAGGAGGAGGTGAGGTGCAGCAGGGAGGTAAGCTGGGCTGGGGGGGCAGGGGCTGAGTCTGGGGCTGGGCCTCTATACAGAGGCTTGGCTTTTCTGCCACTTCAGGGCCCACCGTCCCCCCACCTCCAATAAAAGAGGGGACAGAAGGGGCTTGGTGAGGTACCTTGAAGCCTCTCCCCTCTGAACCCTGCAGCCAGGTCCCTGGGCTGGGGATTGGCTGGATGGGAGCCCAGGCTCCAGGCTGGCCAGAAGCTGCCTCTCACGCTGGCTCTCTCCACACCTTACAGCCTGTGGTAGCTTGGGTCTGGGGCACCATGGCCCAGGCCCTGGGGGAGGACCTGGTGCAAACTTTAGAGCTGCAGGACGACTCCAGCTCTTTGGGGTCCGACTCAGAGCTGAGTGGGCCCGGCCCATATCGCCAGGCTGACCGCTATGGCTTCATTGGGGGCAGCTCAGCAGAGCCAGGGTAAGTGGGGAAGGGATGGGGGCGGCAGGGTGCTGGGATTGAGGTTGGGGGCTGAGGGCTGACTTCTAGAGTGAGGCTCAACTTCGAGGGTCCTGGGGGGTCTGGGGACTCAGCCAGCGTCACCCTTCTTCGTGCTCCAGGTGGAATCCTAAAGCTGGCAGAGCTGAGGCAGGAGTGTCCCTCATATGTCTTTTTCCCCCAACCTCCCAGGCTTTGCACCTGTCCTTGGGGCCAAATATCCTTCCCTTTTTGATCTGTCCCAGTAATCCCAGAACCATACCAAAGAACCCATACCTCTACCCCTCCCCTTTCCCAACATACAGATAGGAAAACAAGTCCAGATAGGAACTTGCTCAAGGTCACACAGCAGATCAGATAGAGAACTCAGGGCTGGCTTCTAGTCTGCGGCTCTGTCCACCTCGCTTCTCTTATGAGTTGTCTGTGTTCCTATCCTGGGGGACAGCCAACCGGCCCCTCCCCCCCATACCTACACACCCCCTTCAGTCTCTCCTGCTTCTGCCCACATCAGAGTCACATCCTTTCCTGTCCCTATGACAACCATTGGCAACTCCTGGGTTAGAGGTTACCCCCCCCCCCGAGATCTCCACGGCCAGGAGCTGAGCTTCCCCGGGGCAGCAGGGGAGGGTGGCAGATGTGGGCCCTGGGAAGCAGCTAGCCAACTCCTCCGTGCCTGTGCCATGTGCCCGTAGGCCAGGTCACCCTCCTGCAGACCTTATCCGCCAGCGGGAGATGAAGTGGGTAGAGATGACCTCGCACTGGGAGAAAACCATGTCTCGGCGGTACAAGAAGGTGAGGGGAGGATGCGGCTCCCTGGCTCATCCCCCTTTGCCTCTGCCCATACCCTGGCAAATTTTACCCCTCCTGTGTCCCAGCACCTCCTGTCTTTTCCTCCTACCATCCGAAGGGACCCTTGCCCCATGACAGGCTGGGGCCTGGGACCTGCCAACAGGAGCAGGGGAGGCTGGCCTGGCTGAACTAACGGGGCCCCTTGGCCTCACCCGCAGGTAAAGATGCAGTGCCGGAAAGGCATCCCCTCGGCCCTGAGGGCCCGCTGCTGGCCTCTGCTGTGTGGGGCCCACGTGTGTCAGATGAACAGCCCGACCACCTATCAGGTAACAGTTGGCAGGAGTCCCTGCCTCCCCTTTCCTGAGCCCCTCGCCACTCGGAGCCCTCCCCACCACCTTCCTGTCTCCCCACAGGAACTGGCCAAGGCCCCCGGAGACCCACAGTGGATGGAGACCATCAGCAGGGACCTGCACCGCCAGTTCCCTCTACACGAGATGTTTGTGTCACCTCAGGGTCATGGGTAGGCGGCCAGTGACACCCAGGGACCTCCAGCCCCACAACCTCCAGGGCCTTCAGCCTAGACTCCTGCCTCAGCTTTATAGCTTTACCTCTTGGGGGACCCAGCAAGGCCCGGGGCGGGGGGCTGAGGCCTGGGAAGAGGCCCCCCCGAGGGTGGGGAAGGGGTATCTGGAGGACCAGGCCCTGATGGGGTCTCCTGGCACAGGCAGCAGGGGCT